AGCAGCAGGAGCCGCATCAGCAGCAGGAGCAGCGGCAGCAGCGGATTACCCAACTTTGACCCATCCGCCACCACTGCAGCCACCAGCTTTAAGCGTCACCTTACTGTCAGATCGCATTTTGAACCCCCTATCATCTGACGCGCCACCACAGCCACACCCCCAGCATCAGCAGCTGCTCTCCCCTACCGCGCACCACCCCCTATTGCCTCCCCCCGCCGCGATACCCCGCCCTCCCCCTCGCGGAGCCGTTCAATGGGTGGCGTTTCTGCTGCAGCAGTTTCAGCAGGGGGTGGAGCGGGGAAGGGAGCAGAGCCAGGAGCAGGGGCGGGGGGAGGAGCACGTGTGCTGCCAGGCCTGTGGGAGGCACCACTGCGCCAGTGCTGGTGGGGTGGGGGGGAGTAGAGGCAAGTGCGCTGAGAGTGACAGTGATGGGGGGGGAGTGGCAGGAGCAGGGGAAAGCAGACTGGGGGGAGGAGGGGGGGCAGGAGGAGAGGGGATAGTAGCAGCAGGTCCAGAGTTGAATCTTGGGAGCTTGTCATGTCTGACTGTGGCTGATCTTGAACTGGTGAGGGTGAATGATTGTGCGGTGCCTTGGTGACATATGTTGACCGCTCTGTCTTTCCTTACATCACCTGTGCGCGACTTTCTATTCTGTCCTGTCTCCAGGCAGGATCTGCCTTCTTTTCGTCCCGGCTTGTTGGTCTCTGACACTCACTCTCGAGATCTCTTCTCTCCGCCCGTCCCCTCCGTCTTCCCCCACCCTCCGCCCCTCCATCCCTTCTGCCCCCTGATTTCAGGGCCTTGCTCATTTCAATGCCTGCAATACTAGCGATAACAACGGCAGCAACAGTCGCTTCCGTCGCTTCCACTCCTTCTGGCCCGTAGCCTCCTCGCCGGCCCCTCCTCCCATGACCGAGGAAGAAGACGAAGAAGCCCTCCGTCGCGTGGTCGGCTGGCAGCTATCAGTCAAGCGACGCCGTCCGTTACTGGGCGGCAGCAGCAGCGCAAGCTGCAGCTCTGGTGTTACTGGCAGCAGCACTGGTGGTGGTGCTGGTGGTGGCACTTGTAGCAGCAACGGTAACTCTGGTGGGTCATCTGTTAGTGGCTCTGGTGATGTGGGCTTGACAGCGCTACAGGTGGTGGCTGTGGTTGTGTGCACCTCGGTGGTGGTGTGTGTGGTGCTGCTGCTGCTGCTGAAGCTTCACAGCTCATATGAAGGGGCGAGTTCCAGTGGCAGTGGCTCTGGCATGTCAAGCGAGTGAACTTAGTGGTAAGGAAGTGTCGAATGACGAGCATCTCAATTTTGCTCCTAGCACATTTTTTTATGCTCTGCACGTCATACGGTACCGTCATACCCCGGATATAAGCGCCACCCGCGGATAAGCGCCTGGCGCTTTTAATCGGCGCCCGGCGCTTATATCCGGTGCTCGATTATAAGCGCATACCTAAAAGGCTTACAGATTATAACCGCATACCTGTGCTGTACACATTATAACCGCCCCCCTTTGTTTTTAGTGTTTTTATATTTTGAAGATATCTAACAATATTAAATCTACATCTAAACATCTTTTTAACACTATTTAAACAAATCTACCTACATCTAAACTTTTTTTCACTATTTTAACATCTAATAGTCAATTTACATCTCATGTACTTCTACCTACAAGCCTCACATAGGCTTGACCATTTTCTATCTACCCTCGCAGATCATCTGCCGTAGTGGGGTCATCTGGGTCGGCGTCAGAGTCCGACTCAGGCTCTTCCACGTTGTTGCAGAAGAAGCCGTCTGCTGCAATTTCATCATCCATGTCGACCTCCTCGCCCTCGAGCTCATCTCGCCTGTGTTGCAGGCAGAGCTTGTCCTGGGACCCATCCAGGGCGTTGCTGATGCCGCAGGTGAGGAACGCCCGTTGGATGAGCTCCTTGGGCACGGACTTCCAGGCCGCCGAGATCCACTTGAGCGTCAGCTCGACAGGAGGCTTCTTGATGTTGCCTGCCACGCAAATCCAGAAACAAAGTTAGAGGGAGTTAAATAAAGGAAACACAAACTTACAGGCTGCACATCTCACCTTTCTTCGTCAGGCTGTCGACCCCCTCACGCTCAAACCACTCCTGGTAGAGCTGGCGGACGGCGGCCTTGAAGGAGCGGTTAACCGCGACGTCGAGGGGTTGAACCTCCGAGGTGCAGCCAGCAGGGATGACCGCAGGGACCACGTTGAGCTCGCCAAACTTTTTCTTCACCTCCGGGGTTAGGTGCCCGCGGTACGAATCGAGGACGACCAGAACCTTCTTGGGGCGGACTCCGAACTTGGGGTTGATGTACGGCTTCACCGCCCCGTCAAGCCACTCGATGACCCCGTCCGCGTCCATCCACCCGTTGGGATGGACCCCCACGTGGATATCTGCACACCAAAACCACCATGTTAGAGAAAATTTATAAACACACATGCCACGGCGCAATCGACGTGTGGTGCATACCTGAAGGGAAGTCTCCTTTCGGGACGGTCTTCCTTTTGAAGAAGACCCACGGCTTTTGTTTTTCCCCGCTGGCGGTGCAGGCGAGCATGACTGTGACCCGCTCCTTCTGGTAGCCGCCGCTGCGGACGGGGATGGAGCGCGCGCCAACCTCTTCAACGGTGCGTTCGGATGGCATCTCGAGCCAGAGTGGCGTCTGGTCCGCGTTTAGAATCCACGGCAGCTCGATTCGGTACTGGCGGCGGGAGTGACGCACGAACGCCCAGAAGTTCCTCACTTCATCCTCGCAGTCTGGGACACGGGATGGGAGGAACAGAAAGCACAAACACAGAGTAAGAATCGTGTATCGAGAGCACATTGACACATGAACACGGCCATGAAACTCACTTGCCGAGAGCTTCTGGCCGACCCGGGTCTTCGCTCTGGTCGTCAGGTTCCAGCGGCGGCGAAATCGCTGAGTCCACCGCTGAGAGCCGGCCCACTTTTCACCTGGGTGTAGCTCCTTCATCACCTCGTGCGACCACTTTTGAAGTCGTGCGATGGAGACGGCGAGGCACTTTTTGCGGTGGGCGAGAAACCGACGGTACACCTCCGCTTCCATGTCGCGATACCACGAGCTCCTTCCGCGGCCGTGCAGGCGACATCGTGCACCGTGCGCGCCCTCAAGCTCAGCCTTGCGGTTCTTCCACTCCGTGAGGCACCTTCGGGAGATGCCGGATACGCGAGACATGCGCCGCACACTCATGTCGCCGGCTTCGAGCTTCAGAATCCATTGCAGCTTCTCCTGCGACGTGTATTTGTTGCGCTTGTGAGTTGACGGCTTGTGCCTGGGGGAGGGAGGACGGGCATCACGATTATCGCGAGATGGGTGAGGCCTTTTCTTATTCGGAGGAGGAAAAGAGGGAATTGGAAGGTGCTCGGGGAGACCGTCAGCAGCCCAGAACTCCACGTCGTCGTCGGCACCGGTAGCGGATTCGTCCAACGGGCAATCAGCCGGGGCTCCCCACCGTGGCTCCGGTGCGGAGGAAGATCCTTCGCCGCCGCTGCGGTCAGGCTCGGACAGGAAGGCGTCGAACGCCGAGTAGCCAGGGGGGAGGAGAAGCTGCAGAACCCCCTGTCGCGGAACACCAACAGCAGGCGGGTCAGGAGGGGACGGAGGAACGGGAGGAATCGGAGGCGCCGGGGGAGCGGGAGGGGTAGGAGGCGTAGGAGGTGTTGGAGGAATGGGAGGCGCTACTGGTTGTGACTGAGGGACGGGCGCAGGGCGCCTCTGCCATTGAGACCAGTCACTGGTGTCTTGGCGGGTTCTTTCTCTAGCAGCAGGCTGGCGGCGGAACAAGAAATGCGTGCCTGAAAGGCCCGCCATGGCCAAGGCAGGCCAAACGAACGAAAGAAACTGAACCAAACGTTGACAATGAGGGCCGTATGAAGCCCTCGCCCGAGACCCCTTCAGTTTCGCGGCCCGGCTTCCTCTGCGGGGAAAGTGTGGCCACAGCCAAGATTCCCCGCAGAGGAGCTGAGCTGGGCAGCTCTTTGCCTCGGTGGCAGGGTATCTTGCTGTTGATGGGCACGCCGTGGCTGAACCACGACGTGCCCACGATCGCATGCAACCCTGATTGGGCCGCTGTGATGCGAGGTACGTGTGCGCAGGCATGCGCTAGGTTCACGTTCGATGAACCTGGCCTGGCCAACAAGGCGTGGAAGGCGTGTTGCCACGCCTTGTTGGCCGTTTCACGCGCATAGCATGCACAGTTCCGAACGTTCTCGACTCAGGTGAATTCGCCTTTGTGAATGCTTCGATTTGGTATATTTAAAAACAAATTTCATTTTTGTCATAACAAATTTCATAAATTTACTATATTATAAGCCCACCCCCTAAAAAAAACACGTTTTATTAGTGCCCCCCATGGGGGTATATCCGGGGTATGACGGTATGCTTCATTCATTCCCGTTCATTCAGTTTTTCTCTCACTGGTAGGCCTAGCAAGATTGCAAAAATAATAGAGTGTAAGCTTGTTCTTGTCCTCAGTATTAGATGGTTTTTTTTTCATTAGCCTAATATATCGGTATATTAGGATTCTTTATTGACGGCAATCGCAACAGCGGGTCATCACATAACCGTCAGATATCTCGCCGCTGTCACCCCAATCAGGGTAGCGAATCCCGTTCCATTTGGCAGCGCAGACTGTCGCCTGCCAGGGCCCCAATGACGTGCCACAGACGTGACCTGACGTCTTCCGAGTCACAGCTGTCACGCATCTCACAACGGATCCTGTTTCACTTTCGTAAACCAGCTGCTATCAGACACCGAGGAACTCACTAACGCGGTTAAGTCAGCCTGTACCAAGACTGGTCTAACCATGTAAAATGTGTAAAGCCGCATGGATGACCCTCCACTCTCGGTGCCACAGTCTATCTCAGTCTCAGTTTCTTGTTCTTACCATTACCACAGTCTCTGTACCCTCGACTTCTCGGCGCCTGTGGACCGCTGGTTCACCGCCGGTCCACCGCCGGTCCACCGAAGCATGGTGCGCTTCTTCCTCCCGCCACTGGATCACGAGGAAGGCGACAGCGACGACGACGCCGCCGCGGTGATAAATAACGTTGCGGCGGAGGGTAATGACGGAACGGCGGATACTGACGTGTTCCAGAAAGACGTTTACGTTAGCGTCAACGTAGAAGACGGCAATGGCCGCGGAGGCGCAGACGATTCTCCCGCTGGTCGACCAGGCGACAATTTGGATAGCGTTATTCACACGCAACCAGTTTATTCCACGTCAGACTCTAATCCCGCTGACGCTGCACGTTTCGCTGACGACGTATCGCGTGGCGGGGCATCTCGGCCGTACGTTCGAGAATCTTCTGCTTCAACGGGAGAAGAGATGCCTATAGCGGGGGCAGAGAGCCCTGTTGGGGCGATTTGGGGGGAAGCAGCTGCGGGGGAGGTAGAAACGGGGGTTGGCGGAGCCGGTGGCGAGGAGGGTTGGGTACGGGAAAGGGGGTTGATGGCGGAGGGACGAGCGGCAGGTGCGGGTGAGGTGGCTGGTGGGGAGAGTAGGGCGGGAGACGAGGAGGGGACGGCAGGAGGCGAGGAGGGGAGGGGAGTAGCCGAGGATGCGAGGGCAGCTGGCGGTTCGTATGCAGCACAGATTGCAGAGCAGTGCACTCGAGGTGACGTCACTCGAGCTGACGTCACTCGAGCTGGTGGCTGTGAACGAGCTGATGTCATCACTCGAGTTGGCAACCGTGCCCGACCAGAAATAGCGGTGAAGAATCCAGTGGCAGGAGCAGAAGCAGCAAAGCCAGCAGAACTGTCAGTACGTGCAGTGGCAGGAGCAGAAAGCGCAGCAGAAGCAGCAGCGGAAGAAGCGGACGGATTAGCAGGAGCGTTGGGTCTCAGGCGCAGATTCACAGCAAGGCCCTCCGGATCTGGCCTGCGTGCTAGAGGGTTTCAGGGTTGGAAGAGACGCAGCCGAGGCTTGGGCTTGGTGCGGTGCGGCAGGGCGGTGGAGGGGAGCGCACGGGAGAGGATTATAACGGAGGGTCTAGTAACGGAGATGATCAGCCAAGCCAAGCCAGCAGGAGGAGGCGGTGGTAGGCATAGGAAAGAAGTGGAGAGCATGGGATTGTTGGACAGGGAAAATGGTTATGGTGTTGCCAGGGCTGGTGACTGCATGGCTTCTGGGAGTGCTGTTAAAACCAATTTGGCTTTTTGTTCGAGTCAGAAGGCGCGTGCAGATTATGGTGGTGGGTGTTACCCGTATGGCCGACAGCAGGGTGCAGCCCGAGAGGAAACGTCCCAGGGAGATGACACGTGTCCAGGAGATGAGACATGCCTGGGAGGTGACACGCGCCACAAAGATAACATCAGGTTATTCAAAGACGACACTTGCCTTACAAGAGACGGCAGAGGATGCGAACAAGACGACGACACGTGGTCGGGCAGGAGTAGGGGCCGTGAGAGGCCCTGTGCTGACGTGGCAGTGGGTGAGTCAGCAGCGGATCAGCTGTGGGCGGCAGTGGAGGAGCTTCTGGAGTGCCCTGTCTGCTGCATGGAGCTGTCTGCTCCCATCTATCAGGTAACTTCTGTGGCGATGTGTCTGTGTGACAATATAGATCCTGTCCTGCGATGTGTGTCTTGTCATGTGCCACGATGTAGGCTGTCTTGGTGCCACAAACTCTAGTGCTGCTGGTCTGCAACAGTCAGAGCACATAGTGTGCTTTGCCTGTAACTGCAACGTCTACTCCCTTTATCGCCGTATGGTCAATCTCGGTATATCTTACCCGCTTGCGTGCCGCTGTGTCCTTCATCTCCTCAGCATTTTCTTCACCCCTCTTCGCAACTCATTTTCCCTGTGACCCGTTTGCAAATTCCCATCCCCCCACGTCACAGTGTCACAGGGGCCATGTCATTTGCTCAGCGTGCATCAGCCACCTGGCGCACCATGCCTGTGCGCCTTCCAGACCCACCGAAGATGGTGCTGCTGCCATTCATCTTCATGCCGACTCCACACGTTGCTGCTGCTGCTGCTGCTGCTCCTTCCACTGCAGCTGCTGCTCCTTCCACTGCAGCTGCTGCTGGGACTATTGCTGGGGGTGCTGCTCGTGGCAGTGCCATGCCCGAACACGCAGCGGTGTGTTGCCCCATGTGCCGGGACCCCATGGCCGTTCCACCCTCAGCATCAGATTGCCATGCAGGGGGGCAGGCTGCAGCAGACTGGGTGGCCGGGACAGCAACAGGCTTGGTCACAGGCGCAGCAGCGGCGGCACCACTGGCTGCTGCTTCGCTAGGAGGGGCTGTGTCGCTGTTACATGTGACAGACTGTCCTCTCTTAGCGCCAGGAGGTGTTACTATTCAAGGCATTACTCCTCGCAGCACTTTGTTTAGCTCAAGGGGGTATGATTCTGGTGTAGATGGGTCGTGGTGGGACGGACGCAGCAACGTTTGGGTTGGGGGAATGGGTGGGTTAGCTGCAGCAGATAATGCTCAAGCCCAGTCGTCGTGCCTTATTAGGAATCTTGCTCTTGAGCAACTCGCTTCTACAGTGGCAGCCTTGCGTACTGCACCTGCTCGCCAGGCTTCACGCATACTGTTTGAATAGGCTACTTGTGTACATAACATGCCTGCCATGAGAGTGTAAGGTATAGTACAGGAAGATCAAGCTCCGGAATGGTGAACACATACGAAAGTAGAATGGTACATGGAGTATTGTTGTTTACCAATTGATGAAGAAGAGCCATACGGTACATTCTGTCCTGAAAATGTCCCAAAACTAAGCATCACAAAAGGTATATATGACAAATTGTGAATGAGATGGGTTTTTTTTCCGGTTTTTTTTTCCGGAGTTTGGTCAGGGATGGGCAACGCTTCAAGAAAATATTTATTGGAGAGTTCTTTCCTGTGATTCTATGCATTTGTGTTGTACTGAAGTGTTTTGGCTAGCTTGTTATGTTCTGCTACATGCCATACAGCTGATTAGTTTTTCTGCTTACGTTCCATACGTAAAGCCTGTCAGACGATTTACAGACCAACATCCAATCTGTGACAGTTATATTAGGATAATGTTAGGGGTCAAAATCGAGGTAGGCTCCTCGACAAGCATATTTCTGCCGCAAAGAGGGGGAGCACACGCATGCTGTTCGGCATTTTCATACGTGGATACTGCGCGGCAATATTTTCGCCAATAAGAAGCTAGCGGCAGACGTGTCATCGTCCAGCTCAGACGTGGAATCCCAAGGTATCTGCGCCAGCCAAGAACCTAGCCGCATGGAGAAATGTGCCAGCCCCGCAATCAGGTGTGCTCCCCGTAGTCCTTGAGCGGACCAGTTGAGGGCTGATGAGATAATTGTTCTGGTTCAAGGATCCCCAGCCTAGACCAGCAGCCAGCTGAAGTAGAAATTTCAAGCATTTGTTTGCATGTTGTTCCTGAAGCTGGTCCCAAGTTTGCCTTCAAAGTAGACACGCTTCTTGTGCAGAAGCCATTAACCATGGAGGGCGCTGCTGCTGTCGTGACGGAGGTCTCCAAGCATGCCGTTGGAGCCCTTCCTGATACCTTTTTGAATGTCTTCATTCCAGCAACTGCAGTTGTTGGCATTCTCTTCGCCATTTTCCAATGGTTCATGGTCTCTCGCATCCGTGTCGGCGGTGCTCCGGATGGCCAGTACGGCTTATTGGAAGATGGTACAGCGGACACTGTACTCCAACAGGTCTCGGATATCCAGTCCGCAATTTCCATGGGTATGTGAAAGTAAGATACCTGGCATGAGTCCTTGAGTTTTTATCTTCCAACATAAATCCTAACATCCTCATGTTTGACTTCACGCAGGTGCTGAGTCGTTCTTGACGACAGAGTACAAGTACTTGGCCGTATTCATGAGCGGCTTTTCCGTGATCATCTTTTTGTTCCTTGGATCCGTTGACAACTTCAATCAGCAGGGCATTGCAAACGCTGGTTTCAGCACCTTGGCCTTTATTCTTGGAGCTTTGACCTCGACTGGATCTGGGTATCTTGGCATGAAGATCGCCACATGTACGTCCCGCTTTTTTTTTTTTTTTTTTTTTTCTCTCTTTGTAGCAGTATTGTCACCAAGTCATCGATTTTGAGTCGTTGCAGATGCTAACGCGAGGACCACCTTGGAAGCCAGGAAAGGAATTCCTGCGGCTTTTGTGGCTGCCTTCCGTGCTGGATCCGTCATGGGCTTCCTCCTGTCCGCAAACGGACTGCTAGTGTTGTTCCTGACGGTTCTTGCATACAGGAAGTATTACGGCGACGACTGGGCTGGGCTGTACGAGTCCATCACAGGCTACGGTCTTGGTGGCTCTTCTGTCGCCCTGTTTGGTCGTGTTGGTGGTGGCATCTACACCAAGGCTGCTGATGTTGGCGCGGATCTTGTGGGCAAGGTTGAGAGGAACATTCCCGAGGACGATCCTAGGAACCCTGCTGTAAGTGCGACGGTCCCTGCTTTCCAACGTTCACTTCAAGGGTCTCTGTATAATCTTAATCTATCTCTCGTGTGTTTAGGTGATCGCCGACAACGTGGGAGACAATGTGGGTGACATTGCTGGCATGGGTTCTGACCTCTTTGGCTCCTTCGCCGAGTCGACCTGCGCAGCGCTTGTGATTTCGGCCCTGTCTCAGCCTGGAAAGGACCATGATTTCTCCGCTATGTGCTTCCCTCTCCTGGTCAGCGGTGCCGGTATTCTTGTGTGCCTGATCACCACCATTATTGCAACGGATATTCAGCAAGTGAGGGAGAAGGCTGAGATTGAGCCAGCGTTGAAGAAGCAGCTGGTTATCTCCACTGTGCTGATGACACCCGTGATCTTCCTCGTTGCGTTCTACGCTCTTCCGCCAACATTCAAGATCACTGTTGTCGGACAGGGCGACAAGGTTGTCCAGAACTGGTAAGTTGGACTTTGAAGAACTTGTTCGATTGCACTTGTCACGACCATGTATGTTTAATTGCTACCTTGTCTTGCAGGTACGCATTCGCGTGCGTCGCATCGGGTCTTTGGGCCGGCCTTCTCATCGGTTTCGTTACCGAGTACTTCACGAGCAATGCCTATGTGTAAGTGGATGTTACGTTAATTGCTTTCTCCTCCATGTTTCTCAGCACTTGGTTGTTTTGAAGATCTCATTTAAGTGATTTCATCAAGTGAACACAAAAGATCAAAGAGAATTAATCACTAATTTAGATCCTTCTTGCTTTTCTTTTTTATTACAGCCCTGTTCAGGACGTTGCTGACTCTTGCCGTACTGGTGCGGCCACTAACATCATCTTCGGCCTTGCCCTTGGCTACAAGTCTGTTATCATTCCGGTGTTCGCTATTGCTGCTGCAATTTACGTGAGCTTCCAGTTCGCTGGCATGTACGGCATTGCCTTGGCTGCTCTTGGCATGCTGAGCACTCTTGCAACTGGTCTGGCCATTGATGCGTATGGGCCAATTAGTGACAACGCTGGTGGTATTGCCGAAATGGCGGGTATGGGTGAGGAGATCCGTGAGCGCACCGATGCTCTCGATGCTGCTGGAAACACCACTGCTGCTATTGGCAAGGTCAGTTGTTTAGTTGATGGCTGTGTCAATATCTTTTCCTTCTTGATGTCCATCTGAAGTTCTGTCCGTTACTTGCTTACAGGGCTTCGCTATTGGTTCTGCTGCACTGGTGTCCCTCGCTCTGTTTGGAGCTTATGTGAGCCGTGCCAAGGTTAACGTTGTCAACGTGACTGAGCCCCAGGTATGCTTTGTCAGATCAATGATAACTTCGTGAGGCAGTTGCCGGGGCTACCTCTACCTTCTGTTACTTCGCAATGCTTCCAAGCATTTGTGCGGCGACTCAAGCTATATTCGTTTTTCTGTTGGATGCAGGCCTTTGTTGGACTCCTTGTTGGTGCTATGCTGCCCTACTGGTTCTCTGCCATGACCATGAAGAGTGTTGGCAAGGCTGCTCTTGCAATGGTGGAGGAGGTCCGTCGCCAGTTCAATACCATGCCTGGCTTGATGGAGGGAACCACGAAGCCTGACTACAAGAAGTGTGTCGAGATTTCAACTGCTGCCTCTCTGCGTGAGATGATTCCTCCTGGCGCGCTTGTGATGCTGAGCCCTGTGATTGCGGGAACTCTGTTTGGAACTACCACCCTGGCCGGCATGCTGGCGGGTGCACTGGTGTCTGGCGTCCAGATTGCCATTTCTGCGTCGAACACTGGTGGCGCATGGGACAATGCAAAGAAGTACATTGAGGCTGGCAACTCCGCTCATGCCAAGAGCCTTGGACCCAAGGGCTCTGATCCCCACAAGGCTGCAGTTATTGGTGACACTGTTGGTGATCCTCTGAAGGACACATCAGGCCCGTCCCTGAACATTCTGATCAAGCTGATGGCTGTGGAGTCGTTGGTGTTTGCTCCTTTCTTCGCCACTCATGGTGGTATCATCTGGGGTGGCAGGTAGATTGTTAAGCATTTGCCTTATCGTTGGAGTTCAGGATGCAAATGTGAAAGGATCATCAGTAATGACCTTTGCGGTGTTTTTGGCTGGTTACCACGATATTAGTTGATGTGCTATACGTACCATAAACCTTGATTCTGCTTTTGTGAAATTGAATTACTACACTGTAAAATGTCTTATTCACTTGAACAAAGTAATCAAAACGCCACTCAGCCCAGCAACACTTCTCATTTAAAAAAAAGAACGTACAAATCAACCCCCAAATGAAAAATCTTCATGTAACTCGTCCTTATTTACTTTTTTCACAATAACAAATCTGGAAGGTAGCAAGCTCCAGAACTTGTCATGAGCTTCCTGTTGTCGTAATCTATAACCAAGCACCAGCGTTGTTTTCTTGTCACTTACCGCAGCCATTGTTGAAATCAACCTCTCAACATCTTCCTCTATGTACACCACGTCAGTCACAATGACGAAGTCGAAGGGAGGCTTGACTGAACAGATATGCTTGTCATTGCCCCAGTAGAGTTGCACAGGCTTGAGTTTCCCTGGCGCTGAAAATGATGCTTTGTAAGCATCAGATAGCGAGTGGAGATTCCTCTTCAGATTCCGTTTTAGTATAGGGAGCACTGGTTGTATGTCTGTCGCAGTGACATCACAGCCAAGCAAAGCCATAGCCATTCCTGCAAATGCATGTGAATCAGTGAGAAACCAAAGCACCTTTAAACCGGGGTAGACATTCAGAAATTGTGGGGGATGGGGAACAGGAATTTTGGGGGTTGGGGCGGGCCGCAATGTGGGCATCAAGGGATAACCCCTGATGCCCACCCTGGTGAATGTGCACCCCGCTTTTAACCGCTTGATTCGAAGTGGCGGCGAGACAACCAGGCATTTTGTGTGGTGAAGACTATTAGAACTTTGAAGGGCGACAGGGCTTATTACCTGCTATGCCGCATCCCGCTCCAAGCTCGATCGCTCGTTTTCCAGCGACCTTTGAGCCTGAGAGCTCGCATTCGTCGTTTTCAAAATTCTTCTCTAACCATTTTGCGAACACTAGTGACGCCTCCCACACGCTCGTCCCCACGTGCATAGATTCGTTATCCTGCACTACACTCAAGGGCTGTCCCCATAACTGCAAATCCACAGTTCGCTCTGCCGAAAACCACATGAGCCTAGATGGTGTAGGAAACTATGTTGGAAAAGCCCAGGCCGCAGCTTAGAAACGTTGCTAAGGATTTCTGTAAGGATAGGTGGGAAAGCTAAGGAGATTTGGGTGATGTGTTTCAAACAACAGGCGGGAAGCGGTTTAGGGGAGAGGCATAATTCTGTGGGGGAGGGGAGGACAAAATTATTGGATCAGCGAGTGGTGCAGTGTGCAATTGTGTTCCTCCTGATTCCCAGACCAATTTTCGTATGTGATTCAATCCGGGTGCCCATTGTCGAACTCGCAATTGCCCTCAATTGTATCACTGATTGCAAGGAAAACTACTCACCAATCCAGTCGAAGCCTCCAAGTGCACTTTCATATGTGTACTTCAAGCGGCTTTCAAATTCCAATAGCGAGTAGAGATTTCACGTGTCGCAGCCAGATCAGATGCCCAACGCAGCTCTACTCCAGTTTCCCGCTGACAAATTTGGCTGGATTCCGATCTGCGTTTCGTTTCCCTTCATCCCACAGATTCCCGTAAAAGCCCCATCTTTTTGTTGACTGGTTAGATAACCAAGTTAGCAGGAAGGGCCTCAGAGCTCTCCGTCCAGCCTAGAGCAGACCCATTTTGACTACGTAGCTTGTCAGCCATGGCTGATCCTGTGACACTCGTCACGGAGGTCTCTAAGCATGCCCAAGGGGCACTGCCTGATTTGTTCCTGAATGCCTTCATTCCGACAACTGCAGTTGTTGGCATTCTCTTCGCTATCTTCCAATGGATCATGGTCTCTCGCATCCGTATTGGAGGTGCTCCCGACGGCCAGTACGGCCTTCTGGAAGATGGGACAGCAGACACTGTCATCCAGCAGGTTGCTGATATTCAGTCCGCTATTTCCATGGGTAAGTGAAAGGTTCAGCATTCAGCCTTTGTATGTATCACTTTCTGTTTACTTCTGGCCACATTTATCAGCTACATTGGTCCAAATATCAATGTGGACCTGGCATGACAAGTTTTTTTGTCCTCTTACAGGTGCGGAATCGTTCCTGACCACGGAGTACAAGTATTTGGCCGTCTTCATGAGCGGCTTCTCCGTGATCATCTTTCTCTTCCTTGGATCCGTTGACAGCTTCAACACGCAGGGCATTGCCAATGCTGGTTTCAGCACTTTGGCATTCATCCTCGGAGCTCTGACATCGACGGGTTCTGGATACCTCGGCATGAAGATTGCTACCTGTAAGCGTCATATATTGTGTCATCCCCCCTGCAATGATTACCCCTCGAACAGCTTTCTCCGAATATTTTCAAACGCTATGTCACCATTTGTTCGTGGACTGTGCAGATGCCAACGCGAGGACCACCATGGAAGCTAGAAAGGGTATCCCTGCAGCATTCGTGGCTGCTTTCCGCGCTGGATCTGTCATGGGTTTCCTCCTGTCCGCGAACGGTCTCTTGGTCTTGTTCCTGACCATTCTCGCGTACAGGAAGTATTACGGTGATGACTGGGCTGGGCTGTACGAGTCCATCACAGGTTACGGTCTTGGTGGTTCATCTGTGGCCCTGTTTGGTCGTGTTGGTGGTGGTATTTACACCAAGGCTGCTGATGTTGGTGCGGATCTTGTGGGCAAGGTTGAGAGGAACATTCCCGAGGACGATCCGAGGAACCCTGCTGTAAGTCCTTCGATCAGGTTGCGTTCTAACGTTCATCTGAAGCCTTTTGAACAGTATTGACCCATCTTTCGTGTATTTTCAGGTGATTGCTGACAACGTGGGAGACAATGTGGGTGACATTGCTGGCATGGGATCTGACTTGTTCGGTTCTTTTGCCGAGTCGACCTGCGCGGCCCTAGTGATCTCGGCTCTTTCTCAGCCCGGAAAGGACCATGATTTCTCCGCCATGTGCTTTCCGCTTCTGGTCAGCGGTGCCGGTATTCTCGTGTGCCTGATCACCACGATTATCGCAACCGATATCCAGCAAGTGAAGGAGAAGGCTGAGATTGAACCGGCACTGAAGAAGCAGCTAGTGATCTCCACTGTCCTGATGACTCCCGTGATCTTCCTCGTTGCGTTCTACGCTCTTCCGCCTACCTTCAAGATCACTGTCGTCGGTCAGGGCGACAAAGTTGTTCAGAACTGGTAAGTCCGAGTTCGAAGTGTGCGTGTGTTAGCACTTATGAACGTTTAACCGGGATTGCTCTAATGTTTTCACCATATCTTGCAGGTTCGCGTTCGCGTGCGTCGCATCTGGGCTTTGGGCTGGTCTCCTCATCGGTTTTGTCACCGAGTACTTCACGAGCAATGCCTATGTGTAAGTAAAAGGTGTTGTTATTGTTTTCCTCCTCCCATTTCTTAGCGCCTACTCAGCCCCTCAGACGATCACACTAAGTGATTGCATGGAAGGAAAGAATTACTGATTCAAACTTGTCTGAACTCCAGGCCTGTTCAAGACGTTGCCGACTCTTGCCGTACTGGTGCGGCCACTAACATCATCTTTGGCCTTGCACTCGGCTACAAGTCGGTTATCATTCCGGTGTTCGCTATTGCTGCTGCGATCTACGTCAGCTTCCAGTTCGCCGGCATGTATGGCATTGCCCTGGCTGCTCTTGGCATGCTGAGCACTCTTGCAACTGGTCTGGCCATTGATGCCTATGGACCAATCAGTGACAATGCTGGTGGTATTGCTGAGATGGCGGGTATGGGTGAGGAGATCCGTGAGCGCACTGATGCCCTCGATGCTGCTGGAAACACCACTGCAGCTATTGGCAAGGTGAGATTTTTGTTGTGGACTATATGTGTGAATGTTGCGCTGTGTGATTTTGGTAACATGCTGAACTTGTTTTGTTTTTCTTTTGCTTGCAGGGCTTTGCCATTGGTTCTGCTGCACTTGTGTCCCTTGCTCTGTTTGGAGCTTATGTGAGCCGAGCCAAGATCAATGTTGTCAACGTGACTGAGCCTCAGGTATATCTCGTCAGATCACCTGAACTGAAATATCTCTGTAGTGGGGATGTATTGAACTGGGACTAACACCCTTGTTAATGTTTGTCTGATGCAGGCCTTTGTTGGACTCCTTGTTGGTGCTATGCTGCCCTACTGGTTCTCTGCCATGACCATGAAGAGTGTTGGCAAGGCTGCTCTTGCTATGGTGGAGGAGGTCCGTCGCCAGTTCAACACCATGCCTGGCCTGATGGAGGGAACCACGAAGCCTGACTACAAGAAGTGTGTTGAGATTTCAACTGCTGCCTCTCTGCGTGAGATGATTCCTCCTGGCGCGCTTGTGATGCTGAGCCCTGTGATTGCGGGAACTCTGTTTGGAACTACCACCCTGGCCGGCATGCTGGCGGGTGCACTGGTGTCTGGCGTTCAGATTGCCATTTCTGCGTCGAACACTGGTGGCGCATGGGACAATGCAAAGAAGTACATTGAGGCTGGCAACTCCGCTCATGCCAAGAGCCTTGGACCCAAAGGCTCTGATCCCCACAAGGCTGCAGTTATTGGTGACACTGTTGGTGATCCCCTGAAGGACACATCCGGCCCATCCCTGAACATTCTGATCAAGCTGATGGCTGTGGAGTCGCTGGTGTTTGCTCCCTTCTTTGCCACTCATGGTGGTATCATCTGGGGTGGCAAGTAGATTGATAAAGCATTAGCCTTGTGTCAGAGGTTAGAATTCACGTGTTATGGATAAGGATCATCAGTAATGACCTTCTCTGTGGTGTTTGTCGCTTGGTGATGAGGGTAGGTATGTTTGGGGTCAAGTAGTCAAATGCAGTGACATATGGTGTAGTGTGTCAAATGTTGGTAGCCTGTAGTGAGATGTGTCTTAGGGGGTACGTATGTTAGGGTTTGCTACTTGTACCCCAA